TTTTAAATGTAAGTTAAAAAATCTATTTTTAATATTTTTTTATTATCATTGATAGATTTTGTAACGCATTTTATTTTAAATATAAATATACTTACCTCGCTCTATCCAATTTTACACATTTTAGTGGACCTCTTGCCACTACTGTTGCTGCTCTAGGACGATCTAAAAGCAAAGCGATTTCACCAAAATAATCACTTGGACCTAAACGACCAACTTCTGCAGGTTCGTCGCCTTGCTAAAATTCAATAATAATTAATTAATATTTTTATTGATAAACAAGAAAATTTTATTTTTTTATAATATGTATATACTAACCTCAGCACGTCGTTGCAACACAACAGCACAACCCTCTACTATAATGTAGAAATCATCACCTGGTTCACCTTGCTTAACAATTGTTTCTCCATCCTCAAACGATACAGTCTCAAGTGCATCAGCGACAGTCAAACGTTCCCACTTATCAAGACTCTCTAAAAATTTAATTGTATATAATATTTTATATGTCAATGTTTCTCATGTAAATAATTTATAATATTATAATTCTATCTATCAAAAAAAAAAAAAAAAAAAAACAAAAAAAAAAAAAAAAAAAAAAAAAAAAAAAAAAAAAAAAAAAAAAAAAAAAACAAGGACAAATTACCTAAAATTGAAACTCGTGACAAGAATTCTTCGTACATTTTTCTTTTACGTATAGTTGAACCCATCAAAATTCGTCTATATGAATCCCGATCAATACCCCAAAGTTTTACATCAGTTTTTGCTCGTACAGTAGCAGCACGAGGTGTACCATAAATTAGTGCCAATTCACCAAAACTACCACCGTCTCCAATTGTGGTTACCATTTCTGAGTTTACGAATACCTTTAAAATTTTAAATATTAAATAAGTTTAATAAAATTTTCATATATTATTTATTTAATTGATTTTTCTTACCTCAACTTCCCCTTGATCAAGTACATAGAAGTTGTCACCCTCGTCACCTTGTTGTATAATATTTTCGCCCATTAAATGTGTCACAGGGAACATTGCATCGAAAATATCTGAACGTTCGTTTTCATCTAAATGTGAAAATAACACATTTTTAGCAATTGCTTTCGAAAGAGCAGCCATTGTCTTATAGTCTTTGGGTACAACTTTTTTAACGTAACTAGTAGCATCTTCTTCAGTGACTGGTTCAGCGGATATACCTCCACGTCGTCGCACAGGTGGAGCAGCTGTTTGTGGCATAGGACTGAGATCCTCACAGTCATCAGGACTGGTTACCTGCTTGGTGGCATCAAGTTTAACTTGTTCCTAAAACGTAAACATATATAAATTAATATTATATTTTTATTAAGTTATTAATTATTAAATATATTTAATTATACTTCATATATGAAAAATCAAAAAAAAAATAGCAAATAAGTTTTATTTATTATGGAAGCTGTATGAATCATTCGCTATGTAGAAACGGAATAACACCTCTTAAATAATTGACTTAAGTATATCTTAACCAAATTTGGCTGTCAAGGTTTTTGTGTAAATAATGTGCTTCAATTTTTTGTTTAACTTTTATTTGGGTTAATGTGATTGATGTTTTATAGATTGTAAACAGATTTAATTGATTGATTTGATATAAAAATCAGTTAAATAAATCACAAACTTTGTTCAGCATTCGAGTACAAAAATAAATGATTTTATACAATAATACATATAATATATTTAAAAAAAATTAATATATAAACAGCAGTACTACTAATTGTACTATTTAAGTAAAAATTTATATATAAAAGGTGTAAACAGTAAAGAAATACTAGTCACGAGATAAATATTTTGAATATTGGCAAATAGTCTTCATCGGTGGTTTTTGTACTTTTTGGATTTAGTTTTTCATATATAATTTCTTATATTGATCGCAAGAATTGAACTTGTGCTCTGTCAAATTTAAAGTGCAGAGTCACATGTTAGACGTCTTACCCGACGCCATACTTGATTTGTATTGTTCTAATTTTAACAACAACTTTGGGTCAGGTATCTAAAATGGGACTCAGGGTGCAAGTTAAACCTTGCTACTAGCAATCTAAAAAATTACAATATATACAAATAATTTAATTATCTTAAAAATATTTCTAAAGATTAGTTATGTTGGATATTTGTCAATACTAACAAACTAATTTTTAATAGAAAAGTTTTTAAACAGTACTCAACAACAAAATTTTATTAAAATATTAAATAATTCGAATATTTCGTAAGACCACTGATGATGAGTACTTGGCAATACTAGAAACAGAAATTAACTAAAAGTTTTTTGTTGCTGTCTTTTCATTTCTATTCGAACCCCTCTGACTTTTAAATAGTTTCTTTTCGTCAAAACACGCGTCACTTTCGGCAAAATAAAAAAATTATCATTAACAAAATTATTTATTTTTAATTCATTAGATTTTTGGCTCACAATACTATGCAGCTGTTTCCAGTATTGCCAAATACCACCCATCATCAGTGGATTTTTTGGAAATATTTCTTATATATAATTATTCGTATATAATTTTTAAGACTGCAAGTATCAAAAATTCAACTTGTACCTTTTCAAATTCAGAGGTCAGCGTCGGTGTTGATTAGTCAACTGACCCAAAACCGTAATTCACTTGTTTGGTCTAAGTTAGTCAAAAATTTGCCAAAAATTTTATTATAATTTATAACTATTCATTCTTAGTCTTTTTAAAAATAGATTTTTTGTTATAATTGACTTTATTAAGATTTTTTGAAATTCAATTATTATCCATTAAGTTTAAAGTAGGGTAGGGTAGACTAGATAAGAGCCCGTGCCAATTCAAATCACTGAATAGGTTGGTGAACCGCAGAAACCGAAGAAAAATTAAAATACGTCAATAATTTTAAATTTAGTTTTATTAATTCTATATAAAAAGATAAACTTTTACAATTCTATCAATATCAACATTTAACATTATTAATATTAGGTGTTGCCATACAAAAAATATTTTAGTTTTAATGTAATGGCTTACGGCACTGGATACGAGTTTTTTAATCCAGTTGGATGAAGAAATATATACTTAAGTCTTTGTCGGTTAAGTAAATTAACGTGAAGTGTAATAAAATATTTAAAACATTTCAATTCATTTTTGTGAGATACCACAAAAATAAATTAATAAAAATTAATAAAAATTTGCCTGATTGTGGTAGATTAGAAACATGTCGCGGGCCGCACATAGATTAACCGCAGGCCGCATGAGTCTCGTGGGCCATGCTTTTGGGCAGCCCTGGTTTAATGGATTGCAAATAAAATTTACTATAAAAAATTATATTTTACTTAAAATAAATTTAAGTACAAATTCGATTCGCGTTATTAAATCCATACATTCTTAATATTTTAAAATTCTTATAATTCAAATGTGATTTGATAATATGTAGATTATAAAATAATTAGATATTATCGTTATAAAGAAAGTTTTTAAAAAACAAAATATAGCAATATTTCTCGTTAACACTTTAGTTTTTGTGTCAATAAATATATCATATGTATTTTAAATGAAGGTCTTCGCCGACAATCCAAGATTTAATCAAATTTATTATCGAATAATAAATATTATTAAAAGAGTTTAATTAAAATTTATTTAAAAATCACATGTGATTAATAATTTTAAAGTCATCACATGACAATTTTTACAAACCAATAGGGTAAAATTTTTTTTTAAATTTCGCAAACGCAAATCCAACAAATCAATCAAAATGTTGCAATAAAATATTTTTATTACAATGAACACAAATATATATTTACAGATAAATTAATAACGAAAGTGCGTCAACTAAGCTGTGAGGAATTCGCTTATGAATAGATTTTTCTAAACATTGAAAGCAAATTAAATGTCAATCGCATGTCAATTATTTTAAATATAAAATTATACTGAACAAATGTTTGTGCTCCCACATTTGCTCAGCATAAAAAATTTTAAGTGATTGTAAGTAGCACCGAAATGCTTCATTCAATTGCATTAACTGCCAAAATAGATTAACAAATTGTTTATAATTAAAATAGATATATGTTGAAATAATTATATTAAATGCATTTTAGATAAATAATATACTCAAAATGATTAAGATAAAATTAATTTTTAACACAAAATATTTCATCTTTTAAAGAAGATTAAAGAACATTTTTACCGACTCAGCAAAGAGGAAAATAAACAATATCCGTCAAAATGGAAGTAATTCAGGATTCTGTAATAACAAATTTAAATTCTTGCAATTATGGTAGGGGAAATAACTATTTTAGAGGAAACGACAAGAGAAAGGAGTTATATATATGTATAGTACGCAAATATATATATATGCATGTAAATTATTTGTTATGCATTCATACATACAAGTACTATGTAAATTTTATGTCAAAAACCACTCAACTGATGGTAAAGTTCAAAAAGTCACGAATTTTGTACTTAAGCACAAAATCTGGCCGAGGTATCCAAATAGAGTATATAGGAATGCTAGCCATGCTACAATTCAAACACCCACAAACACAAACCTAAAAAAGTTGCAATCATTGCTTTAAGCATAAACTAAAATATTGAATATGCATATGCAAGTTGTTTTGCATTTCCTTGGTTTGCATGTTGATTCTATGACGTAAATGTCGCAATAGCCCAGCGAGAAATATAAACTTTGGAAAAAGTGTGATAACAATTCATTGTGTTTTTTTAAAGCATTTTATATTTTTTTATAGACCCTTATATGACTAATAATTATTTGATCAACACATATAATAAAATTTTTTTATCAAAGTTTAAAGTATATTCGTATTGAAACTTTTACATTAGGAACATATTTACTAACCGATTTAAGTTAAATATTTCAAATAAAAAATACAAATAAACTACTATGTTGATTTAACAACATTGCGAACTTTTATGCTAAAATTAATTTAAGATTAAAAATGTTTTGTTTTTTTTTAACAAAGGCCACTTCCCCCACTCTCTACAACATTTATACGTTCGGTATCCAAATGTTAGGTCCCTTGACATTGACGTTATACGCTGACGAAACGTGTATGCTATACTCGGATAAATGTGCTCTCAACATAACCAACTCACTTCAAGAGCATATAAACCTCATCCTGGAGCATTACCAGAAATGGAAAATAAAAATCAATAATGAAAAAACTTAGGCTCTGTTCATTATGCGTAAGAGGACACAGAACCTGTCGAGAGTGAGAGTGGGAGATATAATAAACTGGGAGGATAGTATTAAATATATCTAGGCATCACTATGTACAAACGATTCACATGAATTAAACATGTTCAGATTAAAATAATTAGCTGTGCCCAAAAGTCCCCATCACCTCCAACCGGTATTCAAAAATGAAAATCTCAATGCTAAGAATAAGAAGCTGTTACATAACCAAATAATTCGACCGTCACTTCTATGTGGGTGTATAGCGTTCAGCAAGGCTTCAAACACTACTATTCACCAGCGAGAAATTGCACAAAGCCAGGCTCTGAGAAAGCTGAAAAGGTGCCATTGTACATTTGGATGAATGACATCCTCAGGGACTTCAGCATCTTCAGGGATTGATCCGACCAGAACTACATAAAGAATAGAGTCCTGAAACTATTTACAAAAACTGACAGGCTTACTAACATCGCGTTATCGTCATCTTAAAATGGTTACAGGCTCATCGGAGAGGTATGCAGATCTGAGATCAGTTATTGCTTAGTGTGATGAAGTGTTAAACAATAATCCAGTATAGGCGTAGAAAGGGGTTATGAAGAAATCTCGCAGTTAATAGAGAGTAAAAGTGCTCAAGTGCACTGACTCAACTAGCCTCAACATAATAATAATTCTTATATCAGCATTTTGATTTTCACTAAGCTATGAAATTATTTTAATTTAAACAGCTGTCGACACTTTGTCACTACTACAAACAATAGGTTTTTATTTCTACTGTTAAATATAAGTTATTTAAATACTCACTTTTCAACTAAATC